GCCGACGACAAGGAAAGGCCCTGGGCCTGCTTCACCCCAATCGGGGCAGAGCAGACCAGGAGGCCTGATCCTCACCTTCCAGCCTCCCATGTGGGGTCGAAGTTTTCATGGGGTCGGAAGAGTCCACGCCGACGATGCCGAAACATCGCCGACGTCGCCGATGCATCGCCAGTGCATCGGCCCCCAGCCGCCCAGTCCTCGCCGATCGTGGCCCGGGTGGCCCAATCCGCCCAGTGGCTCCCCGCTTTTGCTGTTGATTGGCCCCTCGCCGATCCATCGGCGATGCATCGCCGACTCCAGGCAAATGCACCCCCCTCGTCGTTCGCCATCGTGAGCTGAGATGGCACCTTCCTGGCCGCGCGTGCTCTGGAAAGTGGCGCCTCGCGGTCCGCTCCGGCCCGGGCTCGACCTGGGCTGTGTTTGCTCCGCGGTCTCTTCAGGGCCGCTTTCGTGTCTCGATGCCGTCCTGCGGCAGGGGCGGGACGAAGACAGAGCGAGGGAGAGCGATGACAAAACGGGGACGGAACACACCGTCTGGGTCGCGCCCTGAGCGCGAAGCCGCGAGCCGCGAGCGCGAAGCCGCGAGCCCCCGAGCGCGGGCCGCGAGCGCGGAGGGGCGGCGCCCCTATCGCGCTGCGCGGCGCGGTGCGGCACGTGCGCGCCGCGTCGGCGCGGCGGGGCGGGGCGGCCCCGGGCGCGGGGCGCTCAAAGAGAGGGAGCGCCGCCAGTGCCCCGCAATCCGCCCGGCAGCGAGCGACCTCAGCCTTGGCACCCCTGGGACGTGTGCATGTTGCCTTCGGCGAGGTCCTTCGAGGAGCATCCTCGACCATCTGGCGAAAAAAAAAAAAAAACACGCACGAAGCCGAAAAAAAACACAGGGAATGGACGTCCGAGCGATGCCCAGTAGCTGCCCCGATTCGAAGGAAAAATAGCCACAGGCACCGCTGGGGGGGGGGGCCCAGCGCGGATCCAAGAAATCCGTGCGGAGCGCCAGAAGGTTCTGTTTATGTGGTGTTGCTCTTCCTCGATTGATGCGCCCGGGCTGCATCAAGAAGCCATGTGTTTTTAGCAAGGGTATCATGGGTTTCTTCGCTCCGCGCGCTGCGCGGTGGCTTCCCGCAGTCGTTCAAGAAGCTACTGCGTTCAGGGTGCTCCGGGCTTCCCCTCGGATCTACCTCGCGCGCGGGCGTTCAGAGTTGAGTTTGTTGCGAGGGTTTTTGCAGCCGCGCCCGCACTGCACCGTGTTCAAACGTACAGGTGGCCCGGATTAGTAGGTCGACCTTGCCAAATCAAGGGTACCCTTGTGTCTTGTGTCTCGAGACCCATGATTCCTACATTCCTATAGCAATGCGGCCTTCGGAAAGGTCTTGTGTCCTCTCGCGTGTCCTGTCCAATCGAGTCCGATTGTACGTGCTGACACGCTGCGTATTGGCTCGCGGCACGTTGGTCCACGTCTTGGCGAGCGCGTGGCGCCGAGCTTACGTTTCCAGTCCACGCGTTGCGCTCCGTGCCAACACGCTACGCCGCTACGAGCTGCGTGTTGCGCATCGGGGCGGCTTCGCGAAAGACCTTCACCATGAGAAAGCTGCGATCCCCCCTCCTACACCATTCACTACTACTACTACTACTACTACTACTACTACTACTACTACTACTACTACTACTACTACTACTACTACTACTACCGCTACTACTACTGCTAGTACTACTGCTACTACTACTGCTACTACTACTACTACTTTTACTTCTACTTCTACTTCTACTTCTACTACTTCTACTACTACTACTACTACTACTACTACTACTACTACGACTGCTACCACTACTACTACTAAATTTAACATACTACTACTACTACTACACTACTACTACTACTACTCTACTACTCTACTACTACTACTACTAATACTACTACTACTACTACTACTACTACTACTACCACTACCACTACTACTACTACTACTACTACTACTACTACTACTACTACTACTACTACTACGACTAACCACTACTACTCTACTACTACTACTACTACTACTGACTACTACTACTACTACTACTACTACTACTACTACTACTACTACTACTACTACTACTACTACTACTACTACTACTACTACTACTACTACTACTACTACTCTACGACTACGACTACGACTAACTACTACTACTACTACTACTACTACTACTACTACTACTACGACTACTGACTACTACTACTACTACTACTACTACTACTACTACTACTACTACTACTACTACTACTACTACTACTACCACTACTACTACTACTACTACTACTACTACTACTACTACTACTACTACGACTACTACTACTACGCTACTACTACTACTACTACTACTACTACTACTACTAACTTCTACTTCTACTCTACTACTACACTACTACTACTACTACTACTACTACTACTAGACCGCTACTACTAACTACTACTACTACTACTACGCACCACTACTACTACTACTACTACTAACGACTACTACTACGACTACTACTACTACTAACTAACTACTACGACTACTACTACTACTACTACTACTACACTACTACTACTGCTACTACTACTACTACTACTACTACTACTACTACTACTTACTACTACTAACTACTACTACTACCTACTACTACTACTACTACTACTACTACTACTACTACTACTACTACTACTACTACTACTACTACTACTACTACTACTACTACTACTGCTACTACTACTACTACTACTACTACTACTACTACTACTACTACTACTACTACTACTACTACTACTACTACTACTACTACTACTACTACTACTACTACTACTACTACTACTACTACTACTACTACTACTACTACTACTACTACTACTACTACTACTACTACTACTACTACTACTACTACTACTACTACTACTACTACTACTACTACTACTACTACTACTACTACTACTACTACTACTACTATCACTATCAATATCACTATCACTACTACTAACTACTACTACTACTTCTACTTCTACTTCTACTTCTACTTCTACTACTACTACTACTACTACTACTACTACTACTACTACTACTACCGCCTTCACGGTGCCCCCACCCTTCCTCCGTTCCTTTCTCCTCTTTCCTCCTGGTCCCTCCCTCCTCCTGCTGTATCCATGTTCCTCCCGTCAGCTTCGAACTCTCCCGCCTCCAGAGAGCACGTCTTCACGATACGGTAGGTTCATGCGGCGATGGCGCGCCGGCGACGCCAGCGAAGGCGTCCCAGGTGGAACTCCGCATGACAGAACGACGCGGAAGCACCGAGGGGCACGGTAACGCCGCAGGCCCAGACGGGTTTCGTTTTTCAAAGGTCGGGGGCGATCGTCTCGAGGTTGAACGATCGACGCGGTGACAAAAATTTGTGCGTGTGCCGACGCCGCACGAACCTGCCCCGCCTCCTCCTCCCTTGGACATCTGCCCCCTCGGGAGCTGCGCCGCGCGCCGGCCGCTCCTGCCGCGCGCGGCGCCCCCGACCTGTGGGCCGCGCTAGCGCCGGGGCCGCGGCCGTGCCGGCGGAGGTCGACTACAGTGGAGACCCGTGCCAAGAGGCACCCCCATTTTGGAAGCCGTGCAATGGGGGCGCGATAAGTGGGAGGGCAGCGATGGCTGCCGAAGATGGGCCCTTTAGGGCCCCTAAATGAAGAGGTTTTTTCGCGCCCCAGAGGGGGGCTTGAGGACCCGAAAAGGGTACCTTTCTCCCCCTCCAGGTCTGCCGTAGCTGGTGTTTTTTCGAGTGCCGGCAGTTCCGGTTAGTGGAATGGGGCGGGTGGTCCCACTCAACCCAGTTTTGCCAATGCCCGAAACGAAACCCCGCGCTCGCTGAACGCGAAGCGGTAGCAGCGGCTTGCAAGCGCGCCCAGGTTTGACCACCCCGCATCCCCCGCCCCGCTAAATCGCGCACCAGAGGTCACTCGTGCCTATAGGGTCACTCTTGCGCGCAGCCGAGCAGAGGGCTCGCTCGGAGCGGTGGGGGCACAGGGCTCGACGGCGTCAAAGGTGGGGCCCAGGGAAGCGCCAGGGGGGTGGACACTCGAGGAGGAGGCGAGGGGATCAAGGTGAGAGTTTAGTGGGCGGTTGCGTCCCTTCCTGGCGGTGTTCCCACCTTGGGAGGCGTCCTGGCAACTGCGCGTCGCCGAGAGCGTTCCGGGGGTGCCCGGAGCGTCCCGAGCGGCCGCCGGGGAGCCGAGGTGTAGCCCGAGAAGCAGGGGGCAACGCCAAGAGGGGATGCGTAGGCTCGGGGGGGACGCATCGACCCCGAATCGCCCATTCATCGCCGACAGGGGCCCGATAGCCCACCCCGCCAGCAACGTTCGAGTTCGCCATCGGGGGCCTCTCGCCAAGCTGTCGGCGACGTATCGTCGACTCCAGCTCCATGTTTCCCCTTCCCAGAGCCATTCCCCCCTAACGTTGCCCTCCAGGGGCCCTGAAGGGTGGAGCCTCGAGGACGAGCGGCTTCAAGCAGCGAAGGTTTAGCTTGGGACCCTTTGCCTAGCCATGGGGCCCCATCCTTCAGGGCCCCATCGCCGAAGCGCGGAGGGTATGTGGGCGGTCAGTGGTGTTGCTGCTGCGCTCTGCGAGGCGAGCCGTCCCGTAGCTGTGTCGGCCCTCAGCGATCGAGGCTTGCAGCACATGGGCAGTCCCCCCCCGCACGGCACTGCACTTGCAACTCTTCAATACAGGCCTCCCCGACGGGGTCCGAGTAGGTGGGGTTGGAGGATCGCGCCGCATCGCCGATGCATCGACGATGCGGCTCGATTTGGAGCCCGTGTTTTCCCACGCCGACGTCGCCGATGCGTCGCCGACGTCGCTGATGCATCGCCGATGCATCGCCGATACATCAGCGATGCATTGGCGATGCGGCGCGATCCTCCGACCCCAACTACTCGGACCCCATCGAGGAGGCATCTATCATCTTGTGCTGCAGCGGTCGGACGAGCCTCGCTTCTCAGTCGGGCATGGCGCGCAGCGCCGCGCCGCGGCAGCGGGGCGGCGAGTGCGGCGCCGTGGCCCAGGCTCGGGTCGGACGAAAAAGGGCGGGCCCCGCCCCGAGGCATGCACACACCGATGCACGTCTCGAGACGTGCCGCAGGGGGGGGGGGTAGGATGCTCTGGCCATGACGTGTTCACGCTGTGTCCACTTTTTGCCGCGACGTCGGATGTCAGGGCAGGGCATGGGTTCCTGCACGCGTTCGCCAGCTCTCAGCTGTTCTCCAGGTGCGGTCAGCTCTCCGGCAGCTGCGCCTCGCCGAGAGCCGGGGGTGCCCGAAGCATCCCGATCGGCCGCCAGAGACTCGATTTGAGGCCCAGGAGCCAGGCGGCGCGGAGAACTCCGGGGGGACTGGGACAGGAGGAGGACGACGACGACGACGACGAGAAGAAGGAGGGGAAGGGGAGGAGGAGGAGGAGGAGGAGGAGGAGGAGGAGGAGGAGGAGGAGGAGGAGGAGGAGGAGGGTGGTACGAATACTGCCGCATGCGGCTGCTTTCGGCCTCGCCGCCGAGCGCATTCCTGGATATGCGTGGGCGGCTCCGGCGTCGGCAGGTGCCGGGAGGAGGCAGGGGTCCTTTTCCACCCCCCCCGCCCTTTCCCCCCTGTGCTGCGCCGCCGGCCTGTGCTCTCGCGCCTCCTCCCTCGCTCTGGACGCCCGAAATGGGTACTGAAGGAATGGGTACTATTCCCAACAGCGGATCCTGTTCATTTTGAGCAGGGCTCGCTGTCAGCGCCGCCGCGGCCTGTGTCCATTCCAGACAGGAGGCCGCCCGCCCAACAGCGGCCGCTGTTGGTTTGGGACAACATTGGTTGTTGGGCATAGTACCCATTCTTTCGGTACCCATTTCGGGCGTCCAAACTCGCATCCGGGCAATCAGTGGGCCAGCGCCCCCGACTGCTGCGAGCGCCCGCGCGGGTCACCTCTTCCGAGCTGCGACGTCGAATAATTGTACACCTGAGTGAGGGAAACTCGTCTTTAAATTGAAGTCGGTTCACCGAGATCGAACGTGAGGTCGCTCGTGCGATCTATAGTGACAGCGACTGTGAGATCGATAATGACATCGATTGTGAGATCGATAGGGAGGTGGGTGACGAGATCGGTAGTGAGACCGATCGATGAGAAGATCGACTAGGAACCTAGGGAAATGAAACCTGGGAACCCCGCCGCCCACCGAAATCGGCCTGGAACCAGCAACCGGGAACCTGGGAACCCGGAACCGGGAACCCGGGAACCCGGCGGCCTACTGAAACTAGCCCAGAATTGTCGCCAAGTCTTACAATCTCCGCTAGGACCTGCACTGATGGGGGAATCTCCGCTAGGACCCCTTCAGTGGAAGCACTGAGTGGGGAAACAATAGGGGGCCACATGCGAACCCTACCCCTACCCCCACGATTTCAGAGGGGGAGGAGACATCGTGGGGGGTAGGGGTAGGGTTCGCATGTGGCCCCCCACAGACGTGCCCCTGGCCCAAGGTGTCCCCAGGATTCCCGAGGGAGTCCAGGGGGCCTCCGGAGCACCTCGAGGCGCAGAGGCTAGAGAGCTCTGGTGGCTCCAAAGTGGCGCGAAGAGCTCGGAGGTTGATAGACCTCCTACCCTGACGCGTCGTTCAAGGAATTGGCCGTTTTCGGTCCGCGAGAGGGCGTCGCGGCCGTCATTTTTACGGGTCCCAGGCCCGTCGGTTTCGGTCCCAGGCCGTTTTCACCAAGGGGAGGTGTACTAAAGGGAGGCTTGTCCACCGCCGAAAAGCTCTGGGCACCTTGGGCGGGGACCATTTCTAGCAACACCCGAGCAGCTCTGGGATTTCCCTGCCTGCTCTGTCAGCGCTGGGAGTACCATATACTTTGCGACTTCTTCGAATCGGACGTTTGCACGTTCCTCTTGGCGCAACTGCTCCTGCACCGATTCCGTCACACGTGCACTTGCCTTGCTGTGCGAGGCCAGGTTTTTCGTTTTGGACCTGGCAGGCTGTGTGAGGAACACATGTGGCTCGTCGCGGTCAAGAAAAAAACTAGCAACACCCGAAGCTGGGCCATGTGGGCTGATTCGCCAAGCCCCTTCTTTACGTTGCATCTTCGGGGGGCCCCGCCTGTCCCCAAAATCGGTGTCTTTTTTTGTGCCTGGCGCGTGCTCGATGCGGCCTCGTTGCGGATTTGGCGGGCATTCGACGCGGATTCGACACGGATTCGACACGGATCCGACGAGGCCGACACGGATTCGACACGGATTCGACGCGGATTGGGTCGCGACGGGACAGACGAGGTCCCCCGAGGATGCAATGCAACCTTCTGCTGGCCTTCACTTTCGTCCGGCCCCGACGAGGACGGCGCCGGGGCCCAGGCGTGGTTGGAGACCCGCCTGCGCGGGCTGAGCGAGGACGGCTACGGGGGAGGGGGAGCCAAAGGTGTCGAGGGGGGAAGAATTCCAGGAAGCGCAGACATGGATTACAGTCGGGGCCCTGGAGAAGGAACCCTTTTCATTGGGGAGGGGCTCGGTGTTCCTTAAGTGTTTCGCAGTTTGCCCCACGTTTTCCTTAGGTTTTCGAAGGGAAATCGACGTTCAACTTCTGGAGAAAAGGGGCCTCGTTCCTTATTTGGGGTTCCTTAGGTCAACGCCCCGACTGTAAGGCGCCGGGGTGAGCGACGTGCCCCGCTTCCGTGCAAAGTCGGTGCGCTCCGCAGCCAGAGCAGGTGGCATGGGCTGCATGCTCCGGGGGGGACTTCCCCGATGCGTGGACCTGGCGCCCACGCGCCAGATCCACAGATTCGTCATCCATGCTAGCTTGCACCCGAAGAATGGCGAATAGCCTTCCGTAGTAAAAGAGATATCGACGGCGTTCTTCAATGCTCGTCCTCCAGGGGCTCTCTCGCGGGGCCTGGGATCGTCAAGAGACGACTCGTGTGAAGAGCCGGTCCCCAGAAGAAAGGGGTCCGGACCTTTTGGGAGTCACACTGCGAAGAAGTCGCGATGTCAGATGTCTGGGTCGGGGGGCATCGACAGGGGAGTGGTCGGGTTGTCCCGAAAGGTGGTCCAGCGACAAGGGGGTGGTGCAATAGATTTGGTGCAATACATTTGGGGCGTGCAATACATTGGGGGCGTGCAATACATTCCGGGGCGCAAATGTATTGCTGGATTTTCGCGTGCAATACATTACTTGCAATACAATGCAGTACAATTCTCCGACGCAATACACCGAGCATTTTCTTTCGGTGGAGGGCAAAGGGTGAAATCTGAAATGCCGTTTCGACGGATTCTCGAGGCTGGAATTTGCAAGAGGCGAATCGCAAGACGGATTGCTCTTCGAGGTGCAGAAGCCCACCTGGATTTCACCCTGAGCCCTCCACCCTAAGAACATGCTCAGATACAATACGTTTGCGATCCAATTGCCCGAAATCTATTGCACCACCCCTTTTCAGCTGGACCCCCTTCTGGGTCACCCAAACAGGGGGGGCTGGCTCAGCGGGGGAACCATCCACCCCAAGCCGCCCAGCCCTCGCCGATCGGAGCCAGGAGAGAAGGGCCTCCCCACCTCAGGAGGGAAAGAAACACACAGACACAATGAACCGTTGATTCCCAGGAAAAGTACAGGAAAACATGGGAAGTGGGGGGGAAGACGAAAACCCGACAAATATTGGAAGATATTGGAAATCCTGGGATTGTGTGTATTTATTTGTGTGTCCCTGGGCCCCTTCACCATCGCGGGCCTGCCGGTCGACCTCCATCGCGGGCTCTCGGGGGTCGCTCTTTCCTTGAGGTGCGTGGTGGCCCTTCTCCGCTCGACTTGCGGGGAGCAGGCCAGAGAAGTTCGGATGCAACTCCGGGAAGGCCAGATTCTGAGTTTGCCCTGGTCCGAAATCCGGTCTCGTCTGGCTCGAGTCCCGCTTGAGCAGGCTGAATCCTGCTTGATCCAACTTCATCTGGCTTGGTCCTGCTCCGTCCGAGGCCCAATCCGGCGTAACAGCCCTCCAATGGGGCTCAATCCTCCTTGGTCCTTCCGGCGAAGACCTCCCAGTAGTTGCCTCCCAAGATAAGTTCGAAACCTCCCGAATGGGGTCCGAGCAGATGGGGTCAAAGGATCGCGCCACACCGTCGATGCCTCGGAGAGGCAGCTCGCTGTGGAGCCCGACCTTCTGCACGCAGGCGTTGCCGAGGCATCGCCGATGCATCGTCGATGCATCGACAACGCGACGCGATCCTCCGACCCCATCCGGGCGATCCTCGGCAATGCATCAGCGATGCATCGACAATGCATCGCCGATGCATCGCCAATGCATCGACGATGCATCGACAATGCGGCGCGACCCCATCTACTCGGACCCCATGTGGGAGGCATCCGCAAATCGAGGAGATGCTCTCGAGGCTCGGTCGGGCCTGGGGCTTACCCCGGGCCGGGAGCAGCAGATTCAGGAGGGGGAAAAAGCACACACAGACACAGTTAAGCGTCGATCCCAGGGAAAATATGGGGAGCAAATCTATGGGAAGTGGAGGGGTAAGACGAACATTTTTGTGTACTTATTGTAGTGGCCTCCGGCCAGTGCCGCCGATCCGGGGCGCTCGGGATAATCATGATGATGATGATGATGATGATGATGATGATGATGATGATGATGATGATGATGGTGATGGTGATGGTGATGGTGATGGTGATGGTGATGGTGATGATGATGATGATGATGATGATGATGATGATGATGATGATGATGATGATGATGATGATGATGGTGATGTGACGATGGTGATGGAGATGGTGATGGAGATGGTGATGATCCCCGCCCCCCCTCCCCACCTCCCCTCCTCTCTCCTGTCCCCCTCCCCCTCTCTCCTGTCCCCCCCCCCTCTCTCCTTTCCCTCCCCCCGTCCTCTCTCTCCTGTTCCCCCCCCCCTCCCCTCTCTCCTGTCCACCCCCCTCCTCTCCCCCCTCCCCTCTCTCCTGCTCCCCCCCCCTTCTCTCCTGTTCCCCCCCCTCCCCTCTCCTGTCCCCCTCCCCCCTCTCTCCTTTCCCCCTGCCCCCCCTTCTGTCCTGTCCCCCCCCCCCCCTCTCTCCTTGCCCTCCACCCCCCACTCTCTCCTGTCCCCCCCCCCCTCTCCTGTCCAGCCCTTCCCCCTCTCCCCCCCCTCCTGTCCCCCCCCCCCCTCCCCCCTCTCTCCTGTTCCCTCCCCCCCTCCCCCCTCTCCCCCCCCGCCTCTCTCCTTTCCCTCCCCCCTCTCTCCTGTCCCCCCCCCCTTCTCTCTCTTGTCCCCCCCCCCTCTACAATTCTCAATATGAATACTACTCTCCCTCTTCCCCTGATGACGGTTTGAAAGTACCCCCCCCCCGCGTACTGTTTTTTACACAGGTTTCCCCGGAGTTGGGTTTTCGCCTGCATTGTTTTTCAAAATGCTGCTCTCGCTGAGGCGCCGGCCTCATTTTCGGGCCCCGCTCGTTCCGAATCGTGCTCCCGCTGCAGCGCTGGCCTCATTTCCGTGCTTCCGCTCGTTCCGAATCGTGCTCCCGCTGCAGCGCTGGCCTCATTTCCGCGCTTCCGCTCGTTTCGACTCGTGCTCCCGCTGCAGCGCTGGCGTCATTTCCCGTGCCATGCCACGGCATGCAATGCAATGCTAGGTTGATACTACGCTTTGCGGTGCTCTTCTACGCCATGCCACGCCGTGCTCTACAATGCATCGCGTACCCTTTCGGGATCATTGCCCTGCTCGACATCCGACTGTGCGAGTAGAGAGGGGATCTACGCCATGGTAAGGGATGGGAGGGAGGGGTGGGATGTCAGATAGACGCGAGCGCACCTAGCTTGCCCTCTCCCCCCTCTCTCCTTTCCCCCCCCTCTCTCTCCTGTCAGCCCCTCCCCTCTCTCATGCCCCCCCCCCCTCTCTCCTTCCCCCCCCCACCCCCCCCCTCCAGAGCGAAGCTTGAGCGAGCTCAAGCCCACGCTCTCAGAAACTCACACGCCGGATCGGCGGATTTATGTGTCCCTGGGGCCCTTCAATGAGCAGATCTCTAGTTATGCTAGTCAGCTCGGTGCCCCTTTGGCACACTGCGAGCCGACTACAACAGGGCGCTGGCGCACCAGTAGCTTTTTTGCTTTACAAACCGACAGGGAGAAAAATGGCGGAAGGCAGCCATACATCGAGGCCGACAGTGTGAACCTGCAGTGTGTATACAAGCGGCAGCAAGTCGAGCACGTGTACAGTGATTCCAGCGGCGTCGTATTGTCACTGCAGTGTCCCTGTGTAGCGTGATCGTGCGTCATTCCGCGGCTTGCTTAAGCTCCAGGAGGAAGCATCGATCAAGTTAGTCCAGATGGACCGGGGTGAGTCCAAGTCATCATCAGGGGTGCGGGGGTAACGTCGCGCGTCGTGCGTCGCGGCCGGGGACGCCGAGCGGGCCTTCTCCTGGAACGGGGGCGCGAGGGCGTGCGAAGCTGCTCGCGCGTCGCACATCGCGGGGAGCGGTGCGCGAAGTTAGAAATGGGACGGGCACTTCGGGCAGCAGGGACAACAAAAAGCCCTTGGTATCGCTCGGACGCGTGCCCTGCCTTCGGCGAGGACCATCGAAGAGCATCTTCGATCAGTTCGCGACAAATAAGCGCCCGAAATTCAAAAATGCACTGGGACAGGACGCCCGAGCGATGGTAAGAACCAGCATGAAGAGCAGCAGACTGAGGCCCTGGGCCCGAGCCCCAAAGCATGCGGGGGCAGACTGAGCATTTTCTTAGGAAGGAGGGCTCAGGGTGAAACCCATATGGGCTATTGCACCTCGACAGTCAATCCGTCTTGTGATTCCCCGCTGGCAGATTCAGGCCTCGAAAGTCCATCGAAACGGCACTTCAGATTTCACCCTTTGTCTTCCACCCAAAGAAAATGCCTCAGCAGAATCCGCGTGCCTTCCCAGGCCGCTCTGTCCTGTCTCGAGCGCGGCGCAGGTCCAGGGCAAGGGCGGTTTCCAGCACCCCAGCTGCCCCATGCTTACGAAAGGGGTGCTGAAGCTCCCCCGCACGCTTCCAAGCGGCTCTTGAGCCGCAGGAGCTGAGCTCCTCATCCCCAGTCAGCGTTTGCACTGGAGGGGTCCTGGCAGAGATTGAAAGATTTGGCGAAAAGTTTCCCGCCGATTTTGGTGGCCGGCTGGGTTTCCGGGTTCCCGGGTTCCGGGCTGATTTCGGTGGGTGGTTGAAACTGAAAATTCTTTCATCGATCTCACAATCGATCTCAATACCCATACCACTAGTTTTCAAACCATCCACTGATTGGGGTTCTTCTCTGGTGTAATAAGATTCGGAATGAAGTTTACAGGCCAGTGCGCGGGTTTCAGTGACCTGGGCGAGTCCAGAGATATCCAGAGAAATCCGGAGAGCGCACGGAAGCTCCAGCGCGAGTCGAGACGCATGACAAGTCGCTGAGCCCTCGGCACGACGCGTGGCGCGGGCCCTCTGCGAGGATCCATGCCGCCCGAGCGGGATCGAGGGAGGAGGAGGAGGAGGAGGGAGGGGGGGGAGGAGGAGGAGGAGGGAGGAGGAGGAGGAGGAGGAGGAGGAGGAGGAGGACGAGGAGGAGGAGGAGGAGGAGGAGGAGGAGGAGGAGGAGGAGGGGTCGGTGGATCGCGCCTCATCGCCGATCATCCGTGATGCGGCCGGATGTGGGGCCCGGTTTTCTCCGCGCCATTGTCGCCGACGCATCGCCGACGTCGCCGATGCATCGGCCACGTATCGGCGATTCGGCGCGATGCTCCGACACCGTCTGGTCGGACCTCATTTGGGAGGCCTCCCGAGGACGACTTCGACGGGAGCATCCGCATCTTCTGCACGAGCAACCTCGAGCCCCCAGAGGCTTTCCGCGATGTGTGGCACGCCGTCCCCGAGGAGAGGGTCCCCGCTGCGACCCAGTCGGTCCCGACGGCATGTTCGCTCGGCTCGAACCGATTCGAGTCGCAACTTCTTGCCATAGGCAACCCCAGCCGTCCTGCCATCGGCTTAGCTGCCTCGATACGCCCGTTTTGACACGCAACGCTTACCATGCTCAAAACGTCCGTGTAAATGCATTGCGTGTTGGCTCAACGTGTCGGCACACGTTTTGGCGAGCGTATGGCGCGAAACGTGCGTTTTGAATCTACGTGTTAAGTCGAGCGTGTCCCTCACAGGAGGAATTTTCACAAAGTCAATAAATACTCAGACAACGAGTATGTTGACTATTTTTGACCATTGTGGGTTTTTGTTTTTCCTATGTATCGTTTTGCATCCAAGATTCGCCTGTGGGGGGACATGCCCGACCTAAATGTGCGTGTCGAGCTCCGTGTCAGCACGCTATGTGTTGAATGTTGCGTCTTGGGGTAGGTAGGGACAAAGGCAAACCCGGTGTGGCGGCGTCTTTCCCTCGTCTTGGCTCCCGGGGGCCATTTCGGGGCCCCGGGGCAACTAAAAACCAACCCGGGGCGCAAAATACCCCTGGGGAAGGGCACGTCCTTCCAGGAGGAATCTTCCAAAGTAGTAAAAGATGTCTGGGGATGATTTGTTTTCATCTTGGCATCGCTCGGACGTGTGAATTTTTCCTTCGGCGAGGACCATCGAGGAGCATCCTTGATCATTTGGCGAAGAAACCACGCACGAAGTCGAAATACACAGGGAAGCGATGGCCAGTTGTTATATGTTGGCCATTTTGATGTTTGTTCGACTATTTTATATTTGTCCTCCAAAGTTCCCCTGTATGTAGGAGGACATGCCCGCCCTGGGGCCGCGGACGGAAAGCATCCATCCTGGGGGATGTCTGGGCGCGGGTGGAGGGTTCTTCCGAAGGGCTTAGGCGACCCGTCCCCCTCTCGCCTCCTCCTCCTCCCTCCTCCTCCTCCTCCTCCTCCGTCCTCCCCCCCCTCCTCCTCCTCCCCCTCCTCCTCCTCCTCCCTCCTCCTCCTCCTCCTCCTCCTCCCTCTCCTCCTCCTCCTTCTCCTCCCTCCTCCTCCTCCTCCCCCCCCTCCTCCTCCTCCTCCTTCTCCTCCTCGCCCACCCTTGCTCAGGCCGCCTACGGCCCCGGGGGGAACCGTCCAGGATCGGGTCCTGAGGGAAGTTGGCCCTGAGCTTCTCATCCATCTCTGCCTCCTAGGGTCTGTGCCCAGGCCCTGGGATCAGATCAGTCCTGGGGGAGGGCCTCGGGGTCCAGGGCCCGCTGCCCTCAGGACCCGCCTGCTTCGTGCCAGCTCTCCCTGCGATCCGATGCGGCCCAATGCCTGCGCAGCCTCGTTGCGCATCCGGTCGCAGCCCATGTGGTTCGATGGTGACAACGAGCCGCTGCTCGGCGGCGAGCCTGAGGGGGCGGGACTTCTCAGAAGGCTCGGAAGGCTTCCAGGATTCGGAGAAGCGTTCTAAGTCTCCTCCGAAGTCAGAGGCGGCTTCTCAGAAGGCCGGGGGGCTTCTGAGAAGGCCCGCCGCCTTCTGAGAAGGCCTGCCCCGTCTCACTCCCCCCCCCAAGGGCGCGCCGCCGAGATGCGGCTCGATCCGATGCTCGTCCCGCTTGACAGGAAACTTTCGCGATCCAACGCTGCCGGATCCCTGCCGAGGAGCTGGGCCTGGACGAGGGCCTGCCTCTGCTCAGCGACAAGGACGCGGCCGGGCTGAACACGGTCCTGATCTTCTGCAACCCTACCAGGATCGGGGAAACGTAAGACTCGAGTAAGCCGGAACTCGGGTTTGCCGACGTTTTTTGACGAGCGCGTCCTGGATTTTGACGGTCCAGTTTTCGTGGGACGTTTGCAGCCGGACTTCGCGTCAAATTTCTGGTTGGGCCTCGTCATTTTTATGATGGCCCCGTCAGGCCAACCCGAGTCCCCCGCACCCGAGTCTTATGTCTTCTCTACCAGGAGCTCCGAGGTCAGGAGGCTCTCCGAGATCATCACCAACATAGACGTGCACAGGAGACCGCTCTTTTATCCTTAAGTCGGGCCTGTCCCTCTACAGGAGGAACATTCAAAAATAATCAAAAAATATGATGTGGACCATTTGTGTAGTATTGCTGGCTATTTTTGAATCTGTTTCAACTAATTTGTAATATTTGTCGTCCAAAATACCCCTGTAGGAGGACACGCCCGACCTAATTTTATCCCCTGGCGATCACGAGCGTGACGGGGGTCTGGGAGGAGAGAGGAGGGCCACGTCGCGATTTTCGCACCAAGGCTGGACCCGAACGCTGTTTTTCTGAACTTCGGCTGTCTTTTATTTTGCTGGATTCCTCCTCCTCCTCCTCCTCCTCCTCCTCATCATCATCATCATCATCATCATCATCATCATCTTCATCCTCATCCTCATCCTCATCATCATCATCATCATCATCATCATCATCATCATCATCATCATCATCATCATCATCATCATCATAGGAAGGAAGGTAGAGCAAATCGAAAACAGAGCGAAAACAAAACGAAAAACAACGTTGAGGTCCAGCCCTGACTCGCACCGGCGCCGCCTGGGAATGCTTAGAGATGGCTCACTCCCAGACGGTGCCGGCGCGAGACGCGACTTGACCAGAGCGGGGGAGGAGGAGGTTGGCATCGCTCGGACGTGTGCATTTTTTCTTCGGCGAGGACCATCGAGGAGCATCCTTGATCATTTGGCGAAAAAACCACGCACGAAACCCAAAAAAAACAGGGAATGGACGTCCGAGCGATGGCCAGGGAGGGGGGGCGGGGCCAGCCACGGGCGTTGTCGCGAGCATTGCAAAAAGTGCCTCTAGCACCAACGCCCCGCCCATGTTCTGGGTGCCCCACTCCGTGGCGCCCGACAGGCCGGGGCCCGGGCCGGTCGGTCCAGCTCGATGCCGATCCGGGCCGGCCCCAGCCGACGAGACTCCGACCTGAAGCAGGAGGGTCCTGAGGGCTTCCGCCGTTTCCGGGCTCTGGAGGCCCTCCCCGAGGAGGAGGAGGAGAAGAGGAGAAGAGGAGAAGAGGAGGAGGGCCCCCAGGGGTCCTGAGGGCTTCCGCCAGTTTCGGGCTCTGGAGGCCCCCCCCATCGAGCCCCAGGACCGTCCGAAAACGACTCGGGAGGAGGAGCTGGTCCCGGAGGAAGGGGTGCTGAAGCTCCCCCGCACGCTTCCAAGCGGCTCTTGAGCCGCAGGAGCTGAGCTCCTCATCCCCAGTCAGCGTTTGCACTGGAGGGGTCCTGGCAGAGATTGAAAGATTTGGCGAAAAGTTTCCCGCCGATTTTGGTGGCCGGCTGGGTTTCCGGGTTCCCGGGTTCGGGGCCGATTTCGGTGGGTGGTTGAAATTGTCAATTCTTTAATCGATCTCACAATCGATCTCAATATACCCATACCACTAGTTTTCAAACCATCTACTGATTGGGGTTCTTCTCTGGTGTAATAAGATTCGGAATGAAGTTTACAGGCCAGTGCGCGGGTTTCAGTGACATGGGCGAGTCCAGAGATATCCAGAGAAATCCGGAGAGCTCACGGAAGCTCCAGCGCGTGTCGAGACGCATGACAATTCGCTGAGCCCTCGGCACGACGCGTGGCGCGGGCCCTCTGCGAGGATCCATGCCGCCCGAGCGGGATCGAGGGAGTCAGGAGGAGGAGGGAGGAGGAGGGGGGAGGAGGAGGAGGAGGAGGAGGAGGAGGAGGGAGGAGGAGGAGGAGGAGAGAGGAGGAGGAGGAGGAGGAGGAGAGGAGGAGGGGGAGGAGGAGGAGGAGGAGGAGGAGGAGGAGGAGGAGGAGGAGGAGGAGGAAGAAGAAGGAGGAGGGCCCCCGGGGGTCCAGGGCCAGTTTTTCCCTCGGGGCCCGTCCGGCTCGGTGCCAGGGTGCGGTGCGTGCCTGTGCTCGCAGGGCCTTCGCTCCGCATGCTGGGGCGGCCGATCCGATGGGTTTCGGACTCCGTGCCGATGCGCCCGATACGACGCACAATGTCGACGCGATACGATTTCCCGATTTTCAATGCTTCATGATCCTGGGCATCTGACAGCATGCTCTTCATGTCCCGTGATTCGGGCCGCAGTGCCTCCTCGCCTCCTCACTCACGCCTCGCCCCGCAGATCACTCACGCTTGGACCCACTCACTTTCTGGCCATTCAGACTCGGACGACTGATGTTTAGACCACCTCGCGCTCAGACTCACCCATACTCATACTCTCACTCATACTCAGACCCACCCACCATCAGTCAGGCAGACACGCCGTAACCATTTTGGTTCAGGATTCGAGGCTCTTCCGTGAACTGACGGGGTACCGCAGGTCCGCGGCAGGCACGGCAGCTCGGCTGATCGGCATCCTTCTTCAGTGCCTGTTGTGGAGTGTATCTGCGCGGTGGCACCAATGGTGGGCGGCGGCGGTGGCAAGGGCCGCGGAGAACGCCAGGATAATGGTTCGCCAGAACCCAAAGGAGGTTTTAGGCCATGGTCGTGCGGGCACTGTGGCCAGAGGGACATGTTCAGGTGGCGGGCGGAGTGCCTCACGTGTTGGAAAACGCCGCCGTGTGTTCCGTGGACTTTCGCCGACGCCGGCCGTGTTCAAGGGCGGCAAGGGCAGCGAGCCAAAAACGACCAACATCAAGACCAAGGAACAGGAAGGAGCAGCAGAGAACGCCAAACCGAAAGCGCGAAATTCAAGGCTGACCCCAGAATCAGAAGCACAGTCCTGAGGGGGGCCGAACCAACGGCTGACCGCCCAGTCTGGTCGAGAGGCTTCTGGATCAGAGCGTGGCACTGGTCAAGACTTTCGGGGCGGAGCACCACCACGCGTGCGAATCCGACGCCAAGTTGGAGGTGGTGCGCGCAATCAGGCACAATGCGAGGCCGCTGCGCGTCCACTTGCGGGGGGCCACGGCGCAGCCGCAGCGCCTGGCCAAGTTGGCCTTCGCTAGGCAGAAGGAGCACCAGACGAAGGACCACGTGTTGCAGAGCCAGAAGAGCTACGATAACTTCGTCGAACATGCTCGCAGGGGCCTCCTTGGCCAACGGCATTAATGTGCCCAGCGAGCTCAAGGAGTGGATCAGGTGGCAGGCCGCAGTGCAAGCCCAGAAGGCCCAGCCCAAACCTGGGGAGGCCAAGGCTGCAGGTCCTGCTGAGGCCCATTGCGCCAGTGAGTGGCCCAGGGGGGGCGCAGCAAGTGAGTCAGGAAGAAGAGCTCAGCTGGCTCTGTGGCGACGCGGAGGAGCCCGACGCCACGGCGGCGCCAGAGCAGCACAAAAGGTTTTTGGCGTGCAATGCCAGAGCCTTCCTGCGCACGGCGAAGTGGCAGAAGCGCGGGCGATTCCAGCGCGCCGGCGCGGCTTGCCAGGGGGGCCCCCCGGCTTCGGTGACGCGCAGTTCCGAGACCAGCCCTGCAGCGACACGTGGCCAACGGGCTAGTGCCAAGCGAGTTGGGCCATGTTCCTCGGGGCGAGATGTCCAGAGCCCAGGGCCCTCACGCCATGGGGAAGCGCGGGCAAGTTCGGGCGCGCCCTCCCCCCCCGATGGCCGAAGCATTTGCGCGGCCCGCGCAGGCCGAGGCGGCCCCGCAAGGAGCGGAGGCGCAGGGTTGCGCCGCCCCGTCAGCCGAGGCAGCCCGCGCTCAAGGCGCCGAGGGGGAAAGGGCAAAGCCCAGGGCGGCCGTCTCCCAGCCCAGACGACGGCGAAGGCATGCGCCAGCTCGGGCGGGGGCGCGAGGCCAGGGGCCGCTTCGCCGGCCGCTGCGGCCCCGCCGCGAGCGGGGGGGGGCATGGCCGAGGCGGCCACAGCTCGGGCGCAGGCCCTCGTGGCCCGGGACGCTAGCGGAGGCCAGGAGTGCTCGAGGAGGGGAGGGGCACGGCGCCCGGGGCCGCCCCGTTGGCCGAGACGGCCCCTCAGAGGGCAGGGGCGCAGGGCCCAGCCCAGGGCGGTGGTCCGGCGCAAATACGCAGGACACTCACAGCCCAGCGCGAATGTGAGGCGCACCAGAGGGCCCCGGGGCAACGCGGGCGCCCGGGTAGAGAACGCGACGGGCGACTCGAACGACGGGGATGTCGACCGCCCCAGCTGGCAGAGGCGGCGCGCGCCCCATTTGTTCCGCCTGCTGGGCCCCCAAACCACGCAAGCCTTGCGCCGGGGGCCGCGCGGGGGACCGCGCGGGGCGAAGGACGCGCGCGGCGAGGCTTGGCGGGGGGGGGGGGGGGGGGCAGCGTGGATGCGCGAGATTGCGGACGCGCTGGCCAGCATCCACACCATCTCGGAGGCCGCATGGTCACAGGAGGCAGCGCCGATGCGGCGCGCCTGGGCTAAGACGGGAAGGGGCGGCGGGAGGAGTCTTCGACCTGTCGGGGCGGCCTTGATCGAAGGCCCCGCGGGGGCGCCCGCGGGCGCCGCTCGATTCGCGGACGCTGCCGGCAGAGGGGCAAGGATCAGGGCGCGCCCCGGCGCGCGCGGCGCCCCCCGCGGCCAGAGCCCTCTGAAGGCGAGGGCGAGCGCGTGAGATCGCTTGCGGAGCGGGGAACCGCACCGCAGCGGAGACTTACGAAGTTGCTCATCCAGGTGCCCGCTGAAACGAGGCCGACGCCGGAGATGGGCGGGCGCCGCGTCTACGCGCCGGTCACGCAGACGCGGCCATGGTCGCTGGACACGACGGGGATCGCGCATATCTAGCGCCGCGGTGCCCCCTCGCGCCCGGTTTCGGCGGGGCGGCGCGCGCGCATAGCGGCAGCGCGCTGCCCGCTGCCGTCGGGGACCGTCTCGCGCGGACTGCGAAGCACCAGAGGGGCGCGACGCTGCGCGCCAGGGCGAAAGAAGCGGAGAACAGGCTCATCGCGCAGCCATGTTCTCCTCGCCTGTTTCCCCCCGGGGATGCCCCTTGGTCCGGCCCCTCTCTCCTGGGCACCCTGGGCCCTCAAGTGGCACCGGGAGAAAGAGCACCGCATCTGCTGCGATGGACCATGCGAACGGGAGCTTTCGCGCCAGAACAACATCAACCAAGCGAATCAGATAAGCTCGGGGGATCCGCGACGGCGCCACTTGCAACGAGCGCCTCGGATACAAGCCTTGAACAGGCAAGAGACAAGGCGCGGCGCCGCGGTGCGCGCGGGTGATGCCTGCACCACCACTTCGCGGACGAGCTGCCCCAGGCCAGGCACAGCCAGGACGCGCTGGCGGAGGCGAAGCGCGCGAAGTGCGCGGCCAGGGGGCGAAAGGGCGCAAACAAGATCGCGGGAAATGCCCCAACGGGAAGCGCGGCAAGGCCACTTGCTCGCGAGAGTTCCTGCCGTTGGACGCGAGAGGCGCCCTCGCGAACCGATGGCAGACCCCCCGCGAGAAATGCCGCGAGCGCCCCCGCCTGCCCTGCGCGCGGCGCTCGAAGGAGAAGGGGATCGAGAATTGGCCCGTAGACGGTATCCAGGCGAACGAGCTGGTTGAAGGACAGCTCTTGCGCGACGACCACACGCGCCCACCGCGTGCGTTTCGTGGAGCCAAGAGACCGGATTCAAAGGCGAGGGGTAAATGCGCGGAGCACACCGGTGACGAATGCAAGGCGAAGGAGCGCCAGAAGTGCGAGGGCATCTGCAAGGGAGGGTTGCCGGAAGGGGGAGTTTGAGCAGACGGAAACCGGCATCCTGAAAAAGAAGCACAAGTATTGCGAGCCTGAATTGAAGAGAGATGCGTAGCACCGCGTTGGGCGCGAACAACACATCTTGACGCACGCTTTCCACAAGTAGAAAGACTACCATTGAAAGCGGTGGCAATGAACTGCCATTTCATGACTTCGACCATGCCGCTGATGGACGCTGCCGCGCGAAGTACATGAGCTGCGAGAAGAGCAAGGCGGAAAGAAAGTGAGCATGCAGGCTCTGC